CTTTCTACCTAGCCTTTCTTAGTCTGGACTCGCCACTGAAACCTGTTCAGCATCATAGCCACACACAAACCTCCACTGCCAGATGGGTGGTGGTGATGTTAGAAGAGCACTGGCTGGGAATTGAACTTGGGTCTCCTGCATGGAAGATGAGAGTTCTAACACTGAAGTCACTATTTAACGTACACTTATGCACTCTACCTGCTGTAGGAAATGCTCACTTCTAAATGGAAGCCGGGTCTGCACCTACTTTTCAAACTCCAGCCAGGCAGGTTTCCTTCAGTGTTATACTTCCCCTCTTAACTAATGTCTCATCGAAGGTGGATAAGGCCAGGGTATTGCCCCTAGTCCTATTGAGAAGGACTGAAAACCAGAATGCTCTAGCTAATCATTGTCTTATGAAATGTGTGTGTATATGTATGCATATATAAAACCATTCTTTTTCAGTAAAAATTGTTCTGTACCCTGGGAGTCAGTATGGATAATTAAAAGCTGTAGATGATGAGAATACTAGCTTGGCATGAGCCATAAAACAAACCTTAGAAATTGCTCGCAGGGGAAAAAAAATCTTGATAGGTTGTTTACGTTAGTGAATCACACACAATGAAAAAGTGAAGAGAAACAGTGTTAGCTATTTGAGCTTTCTGGTGGCCTAGAAAGGAGTCCAGCTGGTGCTGTTGGGTAAACATTGGACTGTGAACCACAAGGTTGGCAATTCAAGTCCACCAGCTGTTCTGCGGGCACAAGATGAGGCATTTGGGTCCTGTAAAGATTCAGTCTCAGAAACTTTCTCCTCTGTTTATAGGGTTCCTTACGTGTCAGGATTGCCTCACTGCTAGTTGACTGGAGAGGAACATGGTGGCACAAACTCAAAAGGTCAGCAGCTTGAACAGCCCTGTCTCTCTGTGGGAATAAGATGTAGTAGTCGGCTCCTCAAAAGATACCACCCTCGGGAGCACTGCTCTGTTTTTAGGAGGGTCACTGAGTCACATGCCACTTGATTGCAACAAGTTTAGTTGGCTGCACTATGTGTGTGTGTGTGTGTGTATGTGTGTAGACAACAACCCATCAGATTGAAAAATACCGTTTGATAATCAATAAAGCAGAGCTGCAGAATGTGGTCTCTGCATTGGCAGCATCAGCATCACCTGGAAGCTTGCTCAAAAATGCCAATTCCTGGGCCCCACTTCATACCTACTGAATCTGAACCTCAGGCTGAGGGAGGGGTATTAGTCGGTGTGGGAACAAGTCTTACAGGGGGTTTTGATGCTCACTGAGGTTGGAGAACCATGGTGGCACTGTCACATAAGTGTCAGACTGCTAACCACCAGGCTGCTGGTCCAAATCCCTCCTGTGGGAGAAAATGAGGGCTGGTTGCGCCCATCAAGATTTACAGCCTCGGTGGAATCCTTATATATAGGCTCAATGAGTCGGAATCCACTTGATCGCAGTGGGTAATGGCGGTAGTGTCAAGACTCATAGGAAGGAAATTGCCACTCTTTGAGAAACAGAATGACAAATGGCTGGCCTCCCTGTACAGCTGAGCTCTTCTTGGCTTGCTCTCATGATCAAAGACTTTCTGAAGTATCTTTGACCTTGGGGGGGTATTTCAACTGCTAGTAAGCAGCTTATGCCAGAAGTACAAGGTGTCACTTTCCACCCACTCTTCCTCCCTCCCAACTGTTCACAAGCTGTTTACAGGTAAGTGAGGAGCCTTGAACAAGGCAACAGTGTGTGTTCAGCAGCTGCCAGCAGGTCCATTCTGTCAGTGATTCTTTGGGTTAGCTAGAGCTTTTGAGTCACTTTCCAAAAGGAAGATTCTGCAGCCTCCTTGAGGGAAAAGAGGCAGAAGAGAAAACGTGAGCCTGGCCAAGTCACCTGCCAACAGGTATGGGAATACTTGGAGTGGGCTTTTCCTGTCTATTGGGCTGATGGCATGGGGGAGTGAGGGGGGATAGTTCTCAAAGTTCATTATGGTCCCTTTTCCTTTCTCTTGAAGTAATGTGGGCCTGGGGCTGTTGACAGTGAGCTCCACAGTTCAAACCCACCAGCCCCTCCAAGGGAAAAAGATGAGGCTGTCTGGGAAACCTTATATGGGGTCCCTATGCATCAGAATCGACTCTATAGGACAGAGACCTGCCCCTCTGGGTTTCCAAGGCTGTAAATCTCTAAAGGAGTAGAAAGCCTCATCTTTTCCCCCACTGCAATTAAGGAGCAACTGGTGGATTCAAACTGCTTCCGTTGTCAGTTAGCACCTCATTTTGCAGTCCACTGTACCACCAGGGTGCCAGCATGGCGAAGCCTGCAGCTGCTTCTGTGAAAAGCACACACTAGAAACCCTATGGGCCAGGTTCTTCTAAGGTTGCCGAGAGTCGGAATCCCCAGGATGGTAACCGCTTTGTGTTTTGTTTGGTAAGATCTAAGTTATCATACATAATGTAGGTACTTCTGTTTAGTCAAGTTATTTGTGATGTTCTGGCAACCCTTGTAGTGACTAAACTGCCCTAACTATAGTGGGGCGTGCTGACTCACATTTACATACTGTCTGGAGCAAGGTGGGGAGCCGGGGTGGGTGGGGAGCGGACATCATCCTGGAGGCCTCTTTTAACACATATTACCACTGGTTCCCGGGCGTAGTGGGTTATGAGCTGGGTGGCTAACTTCAAGGGCAGCAGTTTATAAGATGAGACTCTCTGCTCCTCTAAAGATTTAAAGCCTCAGAAAGCCCCAGAGGCAAATTTATATTGCCCTACAGGGTCACTATGAGTCAAAAATGACTGGATGGCAGTTGAGTTTTAGTTTTTTTTTTAACCACTGTCCTAAGATCTCTGGGTGACACAAATGGCTTGGGTTCAACTAGCCTAAAGGTTGGTGGTGTTAACTCACCAGGCAGCACTGTGGAAGAAAGGCCTGGCAATCTGATTCCGGAAAGATCACAGCCAAGAAGAGCCTATGGAGCAGTTTCTGTGAGTCATCATTAACTTGACAGCAACCGGCCTGGTTTTGTTTACTATTGGCCCAGTGTTGTGTGTGGGTATACATGTGCACGCGTGTGTTTGGTGCCCTGGCTATGTTTAAGGCTGCCGTTCTTAGAATGAAATGCTCAGACACCCTGATGTGGCTCGGGCCAGCAACTTTCTCTTCATTTCTGGTTGGCTCTTCATTCTCAAATACGGTAGCCGTGTCTCAGCAGGATGAGTGTCATCATACAGAACATCAGAAGATCTGGGTTCTAACCCCTAATTGTGGGACTTTGGGCAAGTCACTCAACTTCTTGGCCTCCATTGCTTTAGCCATGAAAATGAACGAGAGCGTAAATATTGTAAATGTCCTGAACATCCTAAAATTGTATGTTGCCTCATTCAACACACCTTTATTGAGCATCTACTAAGTAGGTGGTACTTTTCTAGGCACTAAGGATCAACATGTGAAAGCCAAATCCCTTGCCCCTGGGGAGCTTCCATTCTAGTGATAAGGTAAAGATTATTAACACAAAGGATGGCTGTGCCCCTTCCCTGAGAACCGCCCCCCCAAAATTTTTTAAATGGAATCAAATTCTCTGCAGCCCTTTGGGATATTAAGCAGACCTGTAAGCACTGGATAAAGGGCTCTGGTGATGCTGTGGGGTCAGTGTTGGACTGCTAACTTCAAGGTTGATGGTTCAGACCTACCAGCTGCTCCACAGAAGAAAGATGAGGCTGTCTGCTCCTGGAAAGATGGATAGCCTCCCAAACCCTAGCTACAGTTGCTGTGAGTCAGAGTCGCCTTAATGGCAGTGGGTTGGATTGGATAGGATATAGACAGTTTGCAACATTCTTAAGGGGTAATTACATTGATCAGACTTGATTAATTACTGAGGCTTCCCCAGTGGTCCACAGTTGCCCCAGTGAAATTCACAATCTCTGGAGGTTGAAAATATGCTAACCCTGAGAAATTGGAGAAAATGAACATTTGTGGAGAGCAAATGTCAATCGGTTCCAGGGAAAAGGGAGCAGTCCTGTCTGTCTGTATCTGTTACAGAGAGTCATTCCTGGGTCTGAGTTGGCTGAATGTGATCTGCTCATTTGATTGTTTTCCAAAATCTTTCATCTTTCCTCATAAACACACACACACACACACACACACACACACACTCTCTCTCTCTCTCTCTCTCTCTCTCTCTCTCTCTCACTGTAAGGCTGGAGCATCAAAGAGCAGCTTCCCAGGTGATCAAAGGAATGGTTAACCTATAGGACCTCTTCTGGGGGGACAGGTCTGAAGGACAGAGGCCCCAGTAGCCTGTTTTTAGAAAGAAATGCGTTAGGACCACACTGCAGTCTCCATTGAATGCAAAGAGCTTTTAGGGAGGCCTCTTCTAAGGCACTGAGCTCTAAGGGGCAAAAACAAACTAACTAAAAACCCCAGAGACCAGATTGCAGTCTTCTTATTCCAAGGAGGGCAAAGGTGGGCACTTCATTTAGACAATAGTTACATTCCAGTTCTTTGTTTGAGTCCCGACACAATATGCGCAAGGCAAACCCTGCGGCTAGGAGCCCTCTGGAAAACCGCCTGCCTCCCCAGCAGAAGACAGCTGGGGGGCTGGCAAGTGGAGGGAGGCATTTGATTCAAAGGGCACAAGAAGAAAAGGGTCAGTCGCGCAGGCCCTCACAGCCCTGCCAGTGGAATACACTCTGCGGATACTGCATCCTTGGAAAGCCCTATGCACGTCCCACGCTCCGGCCATCACCACCACCTCGCCATCCCACTCTTCCAGGTGCTGCCTGAGCTCCAAGCCCGGTCCTGAAGGGGGTCATCCCCACATCCTTCGACCTGTTATGTCATCCCTTGCCACCTCAGTAGGCTATCCCAGCCTCCACCCCCACCCCCAGCCCGCTATCAAGCCCTCTGGTGTTTTCCAGCACCTCCGAATCAACCAACACCCCCTCCCCCCGCCAATGCCCTCATCTGTATCCTGCCTTCATCCCTTATCCCCATCCTTCCAGGACTCCCCGCGCTTGCCTCACCTGCAGCCCAGGAAAACGTGGTTGGTCCAGGAAGCAGAGAGAGCGAGGAGCTGGTCGAGGGCAGCCCCGGGATAGCTGTGCAGGTGCCGGCAGATGAAGCTGCGCCGCAGAGCCCACTGCCAGTCGCTTTCGTGGCTATAGCGCCACTGCTCCAGCACTGGTTCGGGCGGGGGCGGCGGGAGGGGCGGCAGCGGCGGCGGCGGGAGGGGGGGCAGCGGCGACAGGAAGTCGCCCCCCAACAGCAGACGTCCGCCAGCCATCTTCTCCGCCCCCACGCAGGGGCCCCAGGGACGTAGCTGACTGCGAGCGCTGCGGTGCGGGCGAGGGAGCGGGGGTCCAATGGGAGGGTCCCGGTGAGGAGGGGCGCCCCGGGGCACCAAGACAAGTGATGGGGGGAGGGGGCTGGAGTGTGTGCGTGGAGCCACCGTGAGAGAAGGCGAGCACGGACGAGCTCACGTCCTGACGCCGGGCACACGCCCGCTGCGCTCCACGAGCTGTCACACGGCGGGCCGGGCAGGCCGTGCCGGGCCCGGCGCCCCGGGACTCCGCGGACCCACGCACTGCGCGGGGTAGGGGAAGGCGAGAAATGCAAAGAGAAAGAAGCCAGCACGCTCTGCTCCCCTCCTCTGGGCTCAAGCCGACCTACCCCGCGTGCAGCCTGAGGTTGTGAGGCCAGAGCGCAAGCGCGACGGCTGTTTCCTAACTTCGAACTCCCGTTGGCGAATCTCGCGCGATTTACTGGTTTCCCTCCTATGACAACCAGCCGGATCCTTTGACGCATTCGGGTGACCGGCGGAGGGCGGGGACTTCGGAAGGGGATTTGAGCAAGGTTCTCTGAGGTTCGGAAATCAGGTTCGGCTAAATCCCTGGAGGGCACGCACAGGGGCTTGTTGGTAGCAATGGCACGCGTACCTGTCACTTTCCCAGGGATTTCTTAGCAGTGCGACAGTGGGACCGTGCCCTTTGGATGGGTCTTGGGGTTTGGAATCAACTTGGTACTTTTTTTTATCGTTCGTGTCAGCTCCCCGAGGTGCGTTTTCTTCCAAGGACAGCTTGAGAACCCCTTTTGAGTCATGCCTCCTTAATCTTGGAGTTTATTGTGAAAACTCTCAAAGTGAAATACCTGTGGAAAAAACCATCCACCGCGCTCCTTCCCAAGCCACTCACTTCCATGCTTCTGAATTCCATTCCAACCGCTGGGGAGCACAGATAATGCACATTGTGACACAGTGCGATCACGGACACAATTTTGTACTTCGAGCAGCAATGTAAAACTTGCAAGATTGAAATAGGTCCAAAAGACAGCGCGAAAATTCTCAGTGGGAAAACTGCAAAGTCACTCTGTGGCACTCCCCTGGATCTGCTCCACTCAGTCCCCTCCATCCCCGCCTGTAGTTCATGAATGATAGTGGGAATGGACCCAACGCCTGCTGTGTATGGTCATCTAGTGGGAAGGCACAGGGAAAAGGAACTGGGGTTTCTCTGTTGTCCTGGAGATGGTTGTATTTGGGTCAGAGAGAAGTAGTCTTGTATAAAACAGTGTCCCAACAGCAGGACCTTTGGAAGAGGAGGATGTGCCTCATTACCCTCTTGAACTCTTTAATGACATTCCTGACTACATGACACATACATGTGTAGGGATATGAGTGCTGACTGATAAATCAGAGGGAGAGAAAGAATTGGAAAATTATTTTGTAGTTCAGCTCAGGAAAGAACGAAGCTACATCTGGGGTGGGAGTAATTTTGATGAGGGGCAGAAGATTTTCGAGACTTGTAGTTTCTCCCCACCATTTGCTTATTAGTAGCAAAGAAGACAGAACAAGAAAACAAGTCATTATAGAGTGGAGAAATTGGGCGACATCTTGACCCCCAAATAAGAATGTTCTATTTTAAATGGAATCTCAAAAATTACTGACGTCAGAAAAGATAAAGGCTGTTCTAGATGAAAAGAGACTAAAGAGGCAGGATACGACACAATCTCCCAGATGGGTACTGTGGGCAAGACAAAATGCTATAAAGGATGGCATTTGATAGACTAAAGTACTGTATTGGAGTTAAATGTACAGATATTGAAAACTGTCTATAGTTATTTTAAGGGAATGCTTTTTTTATTCTTAGGTACCCTGGGATATTTAGGAGTTGTTATAGCAGTATTCAGTCACTAAGACTTTGGTACTGAGGAGTGGGGGACTGCTCTAACAAATGCCCCAACTGTGGCAGATGTTGGGGAATTGGGTAATGGATAGTAGCCTGACGAATTTTAAAGTGATTAATAGTAAAAGCCTAGATTACCTTACAGTGATTGTTGGTAGAGTTATGGACATCAGAGGCAATTCTGACGAAAGCTCCGGAGGAGGTGAAGTGAGTTATGGAGAAAGTGTCTATTGCCTTAAAGAATACATATGGCACTGGCAACAGAACATAGCTAGAATGTGAGTGTTAAATGTGCTTCTGGCAAGACTTTAAAGGAAAATGATAAACGCGATTAGATAATGGAGGAAGGGTAGTGCTTTTTCTGCAGTGGCAAAGAATTTGTCTGAATTATCTTCAGATAGTAGAAGGTATATTCTTATGTAATGAAGGAGAGCCCAAAACCAAGATACAGAATTGTCTCTCATCCCCTTACAGAAGGGACATGGGGAGGAGACGAGCCAGTCAGGGTGCAGTGTAGCAACGATGAAACATACAACTTTCCTCTAGTTCTTTAATGCTTCCTTCCCCTCCCACTATCATGAACCCAATTCTACCTTACAAATCTGGCTAGACCAGAGGATGTACACTGGTACAGATAGGAACAGGGAATCCAGGGCGGATGAACCCTTCAGGACCAGTGGTGAGAGTGGCGCTATCGGAGGGAAGGTGAGGTAGAAAGGGGGAACCGATCACAAGGATCTACATATAACCCCTTCCTGTGGGAAGGACAACAGAAAAGTGGGTGAAGTGAGATGTCAGACAGTTTAATACATGACAAAATAATAATTTATAAATTATCAAGGGTTCATAACGGAGGGGGGAAATGAGGAGCTGATACCAAGGGCTTAAGTAGAAAGCAAATGTTTTGAGAATGATGAGGGAAACAAATGTACAAATGTGCTTGACACAATGGATGGATGGTGATAAGAGTTGTAGGAACCCCCAATAAAATGATTTAAAAAAAAAAAGAGTTGTCTTTAACCCTCAGCATAATATAGAGTTGCTATTTTTCTACCCTATAGGTAGAACATACAGACCAGAAACGTTCTAAAGTCCAAGCCAAACAAACAAAGAGGTAGTGTTAGACATGGAAGAACACCAGTGGATGGTTTTGTGGCCAGACTACCTGGAAGATATCACTACTTACTATCTTAATGCCTAAGGAGGCCTGGTGGTGTAGTGGGATACACATTGAACTACTAATCACCAGGTCAGTCCTTCAAACGCATCAGCTACTCGGTGGGAGACAAATGAGGCTGTCTACTCCTGTAAAGATTTTTAAAGTCTTTGAATCTCATGGGGGCAATTCTACTTTGTCCTATAGGGTCCCTATGTGTCAGAATGGACTCAATAGTGCAGAGTTGTTTCCTTTCTTTCCTCCTCCTCCTTCCATCTTAATGCATGACTCTCAAGGAAGGCCTGGATTTTAAAAGAATGGTCTCAGAACAAACCCATTCCTTTGGCAGCTGCATAAACTGCAGAAATGGGACATTTCAGATACTGCCTCATCTGACTGAGGGATTTGTTTAGGAGTTTTCAAAACATACCATGTAGCGACTGCCTGATAATACTTGCTTCGGAGGATTGTTATGAAGACTTAATGACTTAATGTGGAATGAGTTCACCAAGTAACTTGCTTCCCTGAGAACCTCTTAGCCATCCTTCCAGATTCCTCCTGGATGCCACCTTCCAGGTGAGGGCCTCCTGATTCCACCTTCCTCATACTCACTACAAACAGAATGGGAGGCTCCCTCTCGTGGGCCATGCTACTGAACTGTGCACATGCCTCATTCATCCAGTCATGCACCATCCCAAAGTCACTGGATGGCAGCTCTATTCTAGTACTCTCTCCAGTCCTTGGAAGATAATTATATCACAGAGCCTCTGCCCCTAAAGAACACACAAGAAGGAAACAGACACAGCAACCAAAAGCTGTAGTAAAGTTAGCGTGTTTGACAGGGGAAGATCCTGGGAACTATAGTGGCTGGGCCCACAAGGAAGGGAATAGCAGGGCTGCCTAAAACAAACAAATTTGCCTGCCATTGAGTTGATGCTGATTCCTAGTAACCCGACTCATAGTTACCTGATATGACAGGTTAGAACTTCCTCTGTGCATTTCCAGGACTGTAACTCTTTATAGAAATAGATAACCATGCCTTTCTCCCTCTGAGCTGGCTGGTGGTTTTAAACTGCTGACCTTGCTGTTAGTAGTGCAAATGCTTAACCACTATGCCACCAGGGCTACTAACAAAGCAAGTAAACCTTCTGACTCTATTGTAGTACCTTTTTCTTGTCTGTCTCCCCAGTTGACTCTGGGGTCTTCTGGACAGTCAACAAATCTAGTCGGCACAGTGCTGAAGGCCCATAATACTTTTAGGGGTCTATGGAGATGGTTCCTTTTCATTTTTAAATCAGAAGCAAAAGATAAGGTGAAGTACAAAAGTATTGCTACAAAATGATAGAAACATCTATTAAACAAAAAATATCAAAATGGGAAGCTACTGATTTTTGACATCTCTGTCTAGGGTTATCCACTTCGGATGGTGATATTTCCAGCTCTCCAACCTTTCCACAAAGAAGTCTTTGCTCTTCAATTTGCACCGTCAAAAGACCAGTCTGAACACCTTCGAGGGAACTGAACATGTTTCTTTTCATTGTTCCTTGAGTTTGGAGAACACAAGGGAGCTGAAAGGACAGCGTGAGGACTGTAGATGGGGTCAGAGTTCCCAATGACATTCTTGGACAACAGCTCTTGCTACTCTCCAAGAATGAGCAGGTGCATGGCTGTGACAGTGAACCAAAAATTCCCCAGGGCAACTTTCCTGGACTTTATCTCACCAATGCAGGCTTCGGTTTTCTTCAGACGTCTTCCTAAGAGGCCCATGAGTGTCCTTTGGGAACATCTATCAAGGTGACCCGTTTGGAATCTCAAAGTACAGTCATTCACAATAACAAGAAGATAAAAAATACACGAAATGCACACCAGTAGAAGAATGGATAAAGAGACTTTGGTACATACACACACAATGGAATAGTAGAATGATAAAACCATGAAGCACCTCAGGGCGTGTGAACAATATGCTGAGTGAAATTAGTCAATCACAAAAGGACAGATATTATATGAGACCACTGTTACAAAGAAAAACCCAAGACAAATGTTTTCATGCCCAAGGAAACATACATTGACATTAGTTAGGGGTGGGGGGCAAGAAAATGAAGCAATAGATAAGGGTTGTTTGTTGGTTTGAGTGAAGAGAAATCAGAGTGGGGTAGGGCCAGCTATTGCGGGATGGATAAGTATCTTAAGTTGTGTAGTATAAAAGTGATTATCTGAAATGTAAACTCCTACCTAATTATTAATAAAAATATGTATACAAAAGACAGCCATCATAACCTTCTAAACTGACCTCTATGCTTTGAATTTGACTGGTCGGGCAGATCCCCTCCACGGCTACTGCTTTAATTGGATCTTTTTTTTAAGGCACATTACCAAGACTCAGACACGTCTGTTACTTAAAGGACTTGAATGTAGCCATCCACTGGTCACAGAGACACGTTTGAACACATGTTGTTAAGAAGAAACGTGTGTATGACCTGGAATACTAGTAGCAATACTTTTGTGCTTGCCCTTATAAAACAATGAGGATATCATGAATCTAGCTGAGATTATATCTTTTATACCAACGGTCATATAAACTTAGATCTGTATATTTATTCCATGGAAAGGAGTCCAACAGAAATGAGAATGTTGACCCTCTTTGAGGACTGGGCCCCTGCTTTACTTGTCTTTGAACCCCCCCATTGCTAGAAGGGGAAGGGATGAATGGTTGGTGGATGGATGGAGAAGATTAAATGGTGTCCTATATGTGTTCAAAAGGCACTGTATCGTGTGCTTAAGAGACACCTCATGGGACAGGACATGGACTAATATTAGTGCTTCCATCTGGAGCCCTGGTTGCTTAGGCATCCAGTAAGCACGGCAAACATGGGCTTACTTGTGCTTACTAATCGGTAGAGGAGAATGTCACATGTTTTTCACATCAAAGATGCAATTCTCAATATGGGGCGGTTTTATGCTCCAGGGGCACTTAGGAACGTCTGGAGATGTTTTTTGTTGTCACCCCCGGGCAGAGAATGGGAGTGGTAGGAGTGAGCGCCACTGACATCTAGTGGTCACAGAACAGGGATGCTGCTAAACATCCTATCCATCAGCCACCCCCCCCACCCCCCCACTCCCTGCCATCAACAGAATTATCCAGCCCCCCAAGTCAATCCTACTGAAGAGAAGTCCTTGATTAGAGGACCCCAAGGGGGAATGCTGTGGTACAGGGAAATATTTATGCTTAATAAGGACTACAAGGGGGAATACTGTGGTACAGGGAAATATTTATGCTTAATAAGGACTACCAAGGAACCCTGGTGGCGTAGTGGGGGTCGCGTTGGGCTGCTAACCGTGATTCGAACCCATCAGCAACCCCTCGAGAGAAAGATGAGGCTTGCTGCTTCAGTAAAACTTTTGTAAAGCCGCGGAAGGAACCCCCCAGGGGCAGTTCCACTCTGCCCTATAGGGTCGTTAAGAGTCGTTATCTGGAATCAACTCAATGGCAGTGGGTTTCTTTTAAGAGCCACTATTGCATGTAGCCTTCACAGTGATCCTGCAAGGGAGTTACTGATAATCCTTAAAAAAAAAACACCATAAGTTATTAATACAGCTTGTCCCAGAGCACATGGTTAACAAGCCTAAAGGGCTGCGGAGGCTGTATTTTTCCATAGCATCCCAGTGTCAGCCTCTCTGCTCATTGTCATGTTGTCCCCTAGTGGGCAAGTTTCGCAGAGGCCGGCAGATCGTGTTTCCTCAGACTCTCTCGCAGCATGGGGGTGACATAGTTTAGTGGGTTAAGCACCAGGCTGCGACACAGGTTCTCGGTTGGAACCCAGCCCCTCTGAGGGAGAAAGCAGTGGCAGTTCTCTGTCCTTCAGAGTCACTAAGATGGGAAATTGACCCGGTGGTAGTGGGTTTGATATCCCAGATACGGATCTTGCATACATGGGAGCTACAGACCACTGGTCTAGCCTTCAGTGTGTGCCCATTAGGGAAATGGGAAATGGAGCTAAGGAAAGGGATCCCTCATGCCTCTGACCACAACCAGAATTAGGAAAACTCCCTCATGCCTATTCCCATGCTTGAGGTGGGGGTGGGGGTGGGGTGGGGATTCCTTACCTGGTGGCTCAAAATGTTACTTTGTGGACTAAGATGCACCTGACTTATGGCAGGGTATGGTCAATTGCTTCCTGTGCATGTAAACATTTGACACTGACTGAGGAAGACTATGGGGAGAAGTCAGATACTTAATGCCAGACTGCTGTCTCATCCCACAGCAGGGCTGGGCCTGCTCCCTGCTGCTGGAGACAATAGACTACCTCTCTCTGGAGCCAAAGGCCATTAGCTTGATTCCTGTGGGCGGAGTTCACACCCAACTGATAATGGTTCCTATGAAGACCCAAAATCAAGTTAAGCTGTTACCAGAAATCTAGGATCCGCCTATCTTGCCGCCTATCTTGCCGCATGTACACCCCCAATCAATCCCTCCTCCTTCTGTAGTGCATATGTCCCTAGATCACCCCCTCCCATCACTGTAATACCTGTAGCACAACCCTTTCCTGTGACTTATGTCTTCACCTGTAATGTGGGGGCTTGCACGTCCCCAATGTCCCGAGAGAGTATAAAACCTTGGGGAGCATTAAAGCTCTCACTCACTCCCTCCACGTGAACCACCAAGTGGGGCTGAGGTGAGCATGCTACCATAATATGTGTCTGACTCCATTTATTTCTATATATCTCTTTTATCTCTCATGCTCTCTATAACTTTACTATAATATTTACTTATTATCGCTGTACAATTGCGCCTACCAAACCCGTAGTCATTGTGCTAGGAGCTGGCTTCTTCTGGCAGAAGACCTTAGAAAAACCTGTGCGTTTGAATCACGATGCTGGAGAAAATTATTGAAAGTACCACAGACTGCCAAAAGGACAAACGGATCTGTCTTGGAAGAAATACGGCCAGTGAGCAACTTCGAAGCAAAGAAGGTGAGAGTCATCTTACACACTTTGGACATGTTGTCAGGAGAGAGGAGTCCCCGGAGAAGGACAGCATGCTTGGTAAAGTGGAGGGGTGGCAACCACGACAATGAGGAAGGTCCTCCATGAGATGGGTGGACACAGTGGCTGCCGCTATGGGCTCAAACCTCGTTCGTTCGCGCTCAGGTTCGCTATGGATTGGAATCAATGAACAAGCCCCACTGCAGACTGCTTTGTAGACCACCAGGAAACATTGTATTCATGCAGCCTCGGGCCAGATGCTCACAGCACAGGAGCAAAAATGAGGAAGCCCTTCGCAGTTTTTCCCTTCCTGAAACTCACCTGATTTGCATTTGTAGGCCCTGGTGCTCCACTTCCTCCTAGATGATAATTAGTTCAATGGATCAGTTCAAGCCCTGCTAATTAGATGGGGGGAGGGGAAAATTCTGGAAGATCCTGTGGGCTGGCACCTCCAATCCCTCAGTTGGGAAGCAGCCACCCACCCACTCCCCCTGGGGGCACACCCTGTGAGACACCCCCCCACCCCGGTCACCTAATGATTCAGGATGAGATCACACAGCTGTCGAGCATTTCTTGGAATTTTATTGAAAATTGACATGGACATTAGAAAGGTATCAAGCTAAACAGTGCTGGTTCTGGGATGTTTCTCCTGGCAAATGAAGGCCCCCCGAGGGGCAGTGACTGATCACACCTTGAGCAAAATGAACCAAGGAGAAGAAAGGAAAACAAAACAACAACAACAAAACAAACCAACAAACAGATTTCTGGAAAACATGCAGAGCAGCTCTCTCGAGAGACACGGGGCAGCGGAATGGGGACGGCAGTCGGAGCCTCTGGACATGGGCACACTCACATGGTCTTTTGAGGCAAGGCAAGGCAAACGAGTGGGCTCTAGACAGATTCGTCAGCCTCGCCGCTCTGCCTCCAGCTCTCAGGCTGAGCAGAAACAGATTTCAAAGCTCCAACTGGCTGTGGAAGGGTGGATGGAGTCATTGTGCTCTCAACTAAGCAGAACCCCCTCGTCTCTCCCTTCTCCACCCGAGGCTTAGCTAGGGGATTCATATGTCCCCCGTGCTGAGGTCTGCAGAAGGTCTGTGAATGCTGAAAAAGATCCAAATGTTGGCCTTTCGCTTCCATATTCCGAAATGGGTAATAGTGGCTAGAGGCAGGCAAGCCCTGGAACCGGAGAATTGTTCAAAAAGAAAAATACAGTTCTCCAACAATACCTTTTGAACAGCACTGCCACACCCACAGCTGGGTCTCCTGCCCCAGCTCACTTACACTTGGGTGAGTTCTCCTGGAGTTGTCGCTGAGGTTACAATGGGTCCCTTCTCCAGCTTGGCCGGGTCTTGTCCTGCCTTATTAGGTTAGAACAAGATACTTCCATTTAAAATACCATGTAAGTCAGAAGAGAGCGTCTTGCCTGGACACGGGGACACATGAACACTTGTTGAGTGAGGGTGTGTGTATGTGTGTATGTGCACGCGCGTGTGTGCAGGTGCACACACGCCATCTGAGGGCAGAGGGGGCTGGTTGGTTTGTGGTTTGAGACAATGGAACCCTAACTCTTCTAGAATGGCAGTCTTCTCCTTTAGATTTAGTGCAGCTGCTGAAGACAAGATTAAAAAAAGCTGGAGAGGGAGAGAGAAAGAGAAAGAAAACACGAAATTAGCCAAAGAAAAAGGACATTCAAAGTCAGACAGGGTGGGCAGGGTGGGGGGGGAGGGGCAGTTTGAGGTAACACAGGTGCTTCCTGGAGACACAGCTTAGAAACAGGGCCATTGATTGTCCATCACCGCCGGGAGGGGAATGGGCTGAGAAGATTGGAAAAACACCACACACCAGTTTAAAGCTTCTGCTTTTAATGGAAAAAAGAAAAAGAAAACAAGCTCCCATGAACAGCCACATGGAAATGCCAAGGGATTAATACAAACAAGCCAAAAAAACCCCCCAAAAAACCCAAACCCCCAAAAGGAAAACAACAAACCCAAACCAAACCAACAGCAACCTAAGTGATCTTGAGAGAAATGAGTGTGTGTGTGTGTGTGTGTGTGTGTGTGTGTGTGTGTCCTTTTCGGAGTAGCCCCGATTCTTTTTAATGACTGGTTTTCTTTTACCAGAAGTAAATAGAGAACTTAGGGTGTTTCTTAAAAATAGAAACAATAGTACTAATTAAAAAGCCTTTTCATTGAAGGAGGACAGGGGAAACCACCACCCCCTCAAGCCCCCCTCCCCCCCAAGACAAACCTCTTCCTGTCTACAGTGAGAAAAGCTACCTCCTCAAAATAAGTCTTCGAATGTTTTGCCTTGTCAATTTTTAAAGCTGGTGGCTTGCTACATTTCCCTGTTGACAAGAATCACCTAGGGGACCCGTTCAACATGGGATGGGGTGGGGGGAGCTTCAAAAAGGTCGTGGAAAAATTCCATTATCTTTCTATTCCATTTCCCCACAAATTGTTGGCACCCCCTTGGCCACACCTGACTGAGGTCCATTCCTGAAGTCTGGCTAATAGGTGCCCGGGTGAGTCCTGCCATTTGCAGAAGCACCAGAATCTTCTGTCTGGTCCTGCCCTCATCTAGCCTCTCCTCAGATATGTTTCTGTGGGAGCGAACTCGAAAGCAGTGGCAGCGGAAGGACTCTCTAAGAATTCTTTCTCCAAATGTCCCAAGACCTTGTCCCCAAGAGCATGAATCCCTGAACAGACTGAATGCCTTTTGGGTAGTGAGTCAGGAGACCGGGCATTTAGCTCGGCTTGTGATACAACACAGAAGGGGGGGCCTTGGGCAAGTCCCTTCACTTCTCTTGAGCTCGGGTTCTTCTGGAAAAGTGGAACAAATCTGTCTTTCCTGCGTGATATAAAATCCCTGCCTCAGCCTCCTCTCTGAAGGACTGGCAAAGGCTGTATGGACTGGGTCCTTTTGGAATACTTGACATTGGGGATTGCTGAGTGGCTCTCTACTCCTAGCGACCGATCTGACTGAGTAGAACTGCCCCCTAGGGGTTCCTAGACTTAATCTTTATGGAAGAAGCCCTGGTGGTGCAGTGATTAAGCACTCCGTTTCTAACTAAAAGGTTGGTTGGTTTGGTTTAAAAGATAGGGCGATCTACTTTGGTAAACATTTAGGCTTGGAAATCCCATGGGCCAGTTCGGCTGTCTTACAGGGCCCCCATGGGTCAGACTCCGCAGTAACGGCCTTTTCTTGGAGGGGTGTGTGTATGTTTATTTTTATGGGCCCAGATGGCCATAAATTTTCTACCATGGAGGGGCAGGGTGGGCTTGAATGGCCCGAGCACTGTTTAACCACTGTGCTGCCGGGGCTCCTTAGGGTGCCTTAGCACTCACGGAATTCCCCCGTAAAAAGCTGCCAATTTAGGGGAGGGCTATTTATAACGTGAATAATTAGTATGGGGGTGGGGCTTGGGGGGTAGAGATGAGTGGTTGCTAGGTGTAAGTTGGACCTACTAGACCTCAAAGCTGCCTTAAAGAGGCCTTTCTTAGGAAGCTAAGAGCGCTCACTTAGCATCCTTCAGAGCTCCTGGCCGAGTCTGGGGTGTCTCATCTCCGAGCCACCACAACCAACCCAACTCACTGGCAGCGAGCCCGTGCTGATCCAGAACAACCTGACAGGATGGACGGGAAGTGCCCCTGTGGGTTTCTGAGGCTCTAAATATGGACGGGAGTAGCTCACACTGCCGACCTCATGGTGAGGGCAAGCCTCCAAGCCAAGGGTCTTCTAGAATGCTTCACAGTGCTTTGGATTGTCCCAAGACCCTGGCTTCTGCTTCAGTAGTCTCACCTACTTCCCTGCCTCTAGCCACTAGCCAATCAGTGAATGGAAATGACAGTATACTAGCTCCCTGACTCCGCAAGGACCGCTCAGGGAGCTTAAAAAAAAGTTCACGGAAAAATGGAATGAGGTGACCATGAAATGTTTCCATGAACTTTTCAAAGCATGCCTGGCCCCGCCCCGCGCCAATATGCTTTGAAATTACATGCTTGGCTTTGTCAACCAGAAAAGAGAAAGCAGGTTCAAAGGTTGGTTTTTCACTTTCTCTACTTTCTGCTTTCTATTACTAGCTGTTGGAGCCCAGGTGGGGTGTGTGTTGGGCTGCTAACTGCCAGGTTAGTAGTTTGAAACCATCAGCCAGTCAGTGGGGAAAAGATGATGTTTTCTACTCCCATGCAGATTTACAGTCCTGGGCATCCATAGGGGGCAGTTCTACCCTATTCTATAGGGTTCCTGTGAGTTGGACTGGACTCAATGGTAGTCACTTGTTATTATTTGATTTTAAAGAGAGAGTTCCCTGCCCTTTCTGGCCCCCTCCATTCTCAACATTTCCAAAAGGCCTAAACATTTGATATAGCCTCATTTGACTTTAGGAGCCCTGGTGGTGTAGTGGTTACGCGTTGGGATGCTAACTGCAAGGACTTCAGTTCGAACCCACCAACTGCTCCATGGGAGAAAGACGAAGCTTTCCACTCCCGTAAAGAGTTACAGTCTGGGAAACCCACAGGGGCCGTTCTACTTCGTCCTAGAGCGGTCGAACAACCCTTTCACAGGGGTCGCCCGATTCATGACAGTAGCAAGATTACAGTTATGAAGTAGCAACGAAAATAATTTTATGGTTGGGGGTCACCACCACATGAGGAACTGTATGAAAGGCTCGTGGCATCAGGAAGGTTGAGAACCACTGTCCTGGAGTGTCGCTAGTAGTCGGCACCGACTCAATGGCAGTGAGTTTTGGGTTGTTTAACTTTGTGGTTGGAAAGCAAGTGGTCCAAAACAAATAAAACCAAATAAAACCAAAGCCAAACAAATAAAACCTCCCCAAAGAAAATAAATATACAAGAAGGTGGTGGTCATGGCCCGTGCTGGGGGGAGGGGGATGGGGGGTGGGGGTGGGGTGGTTCTGGGAGGCACGAGCCAGTTGTGGAGGTCAAAAGACGTCTTGAAGGGATAGTACATCGCAAGGGTGGGTGGGTGGGGGCCTGGCTGCCTGACACCCCAAGGGAAAGCTGTCAGTTAAAATAGGAACTTTGGCTTAAAAGGCTAAATGGAGTCCAGTCCAGCAGTAGCAGGGGTGCTATTCAGTACACAGCCATGGGTTACTGCAAAGGAAGGGCAGAAAGAGGGTGTGTTAGCCACGGATCATCGCCAGGGCACCTCCAGGTCTCCCCTTTGCCCCGGGGCCAAACACCAAAGGGTGCAGTGGAAGGCTGTCTACTTCACAAGGGTTCCCTGAAAGCCACAGTCAGATGGGACTCCCTATCAAACAGAGGGCAGGAAGGTTGTTTATATATATTCAAATGCCAACTTGCCCACACAGATTCTTTGCCTGTTCAGTTTGCCTAGTTTCCTAAATGGGCTTGTTAGACCTGGTATATAGGAAATACCTAGGAGTTTCTGGAAGGCCCAAGAAGAGCTCTGTGTACAATGCAAGCCACTAGGTTGGTAATGGCAAGTAGGTTTAGTCTCCCTTTTGCATCCACGGTGTCCCCAGAGGCAGAGAGGCCCAGCATTCTCTCCCGCAGACGTGTTGGTGGGGAAAGGCTGCAGGTCATGTGCGGCCGGCATGTTGAACCAAACTGAGTGCCAGGTGGACTGAAGCAAAGCTGGGAAGGGCCGGCAAGAACAAACACTAGAGTCATCTCCTTTGGGAGCCCTTGGTTGCTATGGAGATGATTAGGACTCCTGGCAACCTCAAGGGTATCAGAATAGAACTGTGCTTCACAGGGTTTTCAATGGCTCGGTTTTTAGGGGGAAGCCAATTAGCAGGCCTTTCTTCCGAGGTGCCTCTGGGCAGACTTGAGAAGGGATTGTGGCACTTCTAGTGGGGTGGTGTCAATGAAGAGCAGTAACCGGAGTGCAGGAGATTAAAAGGAAGCCGTGTTGACCAGAAGTTACCCAGCTATGGCAACTTCTGGGAGATAGGAGCACCCAGTGTCCACACAGGGCAGCTGATGGAACCCCTGTCAGGTTCTAGTTTAGCAAAGACAGGGATGGCTGGCTGGAGGTAATCGACTGGGTCCGGGGTGCATCTCCAAGCCATGTGACTGCTGGCTCCCTGGCCAGAGGCCAGACACTGTCCTCAGACTCTTAGGCTTCTAAGAACCCTGGCAGAATGAAGCAGGCAGGCGGGGGCAAGGTGGTGGGGGGGTGTAGGCACAGGATGTGTGCACCCCAACTGGCTAAAGGGGAACTAGAGAAGTGGGGCCCAAGTTCTGTTGTGCAGGGGAAGGGTGTTTACAGGAAACCCAAACTGAAAGTGAAAAAAGAAGTGGGGTTAATGAACGTGGATTAGGTACCCCCTGCACCCCCAAAAGTGGGGGTGGGGTGGGGTTGGAGGAGGGTCAGAAGAAAATTGTTTAATTAATTCATGATGATGAATAGACAAATTAGAACGTAGCTACGTTTAAGATGGTCTTAAGATCTTATTGCATTGGCTCCTGAGAACATTCTTTCTCCCTCGTATACCCACAAACACCCGAGGGCTGCTCATAGTAGTGATGCCTAGCAGAATCATTATCAACTGCCAGAATGTATCATCTTTTCTCTCTTCCTAAAAACCAGTGGCCATGGAGTCATTTCTGATCCTGAGTGACTCCATGTGTGTGAAAGTAGAACTGCA